CAGGTCAGGTTCAACAGGGTTCCGAAGAAGGTTCCGGAGAAGGTTCCGGGAGGCTTTAGTGCCCCAGGTCAGGTTCAACAGGGTTCCGAAGAAGGTTCCGGAGAAGGTCTGGGAGGCTTTGCTGCAGAGCCATGTCAGGTTCAACAGGTTTTCGGAGAAGGTTCCGGAGAAGGTTCCGGGAGGTTTTGGTGCAGCGCCAAGTCAGGTTCAACAGGGTTCCGGAGAAGGTTCCGGAGAAGGTGTGGGAGGCTTTGGTGCAGAGCCAGGTCAGGTTCAACAGGATTTGCGACCATTTATATAATTGACGGAAACCCAACGGAGGTGTTTCCAGCGCTTGGCTTCGCAGCACGCTTCCGAAAGATTTGTAAAAATAAAACGTTGCGGCTGTTGGGGATACCACCGAAGCTTATTTGGGATCAATTTTTACTTTTTGTCATTGAACTCAGGCAATGCTTGCAGCACTTGAATTCCATTTGAGAATATGTAAAGACGTGGCCTTCAAGGTCACCTCTTCAGGTCACAGTTGAACAAGCCAATTCTTGTGGGTTCTTCCATCAATGTTGTCTATCCCATCATATTCCAATGTTGTGGTTATCCCATCATATCCCATCATGCCCATCATTCTTCTTATTTCTGGTTTGGGAAGTAAGAACTGATCAGTCTATCCCATCATATCCCACATATTCATCAAAATTCGGTGATTTTGACACCAGAAAATAGAAGCACGGTTGTGTTGATCATATTCCCGATCATATGTCCACTAGAAAGAACACATTGTCCCACTAATCAAATCGTTGAAACCTTTCCCACCAATCAAAACAACGTATTTAAACCCCGTCACATTCCATACTTATGAAACAATATCGGCATTCCTTGACAACTCATATACCATATTGATTCCATCAAATACCCATATTGATTCCATACTTATTCCGTATTCCTATCATAACATAACAATCCATAATATCTCATCAAATCCCCATATTTATGCCCCATTTTTTTCTCCCTTCTATGGTGTATTTGTGAACAATATTTATGACAGAACCCAAAATATGAGGTGATCCTCAAATTCCTGACCAGAAGTGACTCATCAATAATAACGTCATTTAATGATGAATATGATATATTACGACCATGTTATGATCATAACACAATAATAATAACATGGTATAATACTATCTATTGACATTTCAAAAGTCATAAGGTGATCCCATAATATTTCGTAATACCCCATAGTTTATGGCTAATATGTCTTTCCCTCCAGTAATTTAACATAGCTATTGAAAATTGCAATTTATAGTTGTTTTACCTATAAAAACAGGGTGATTTTCCATAGCTATGTTAGTTCACCGGAGGGTACCATAATTCAATGGATTGGTTTTGTTGTGAAAATTTACAGGAAACCATGGTTTTTTACTATCATTGTTACGAGGGTTTTTCTGTAATTTTTCCCTCCAATCCATTGAATAATCCATAATCCATCATTATGGAATATAACTATATATGTATATAACATAATCCATCAACCGTCAACCATAATCCATAATCAAAGTCAAATGTTGGTAAATATTCCACACATATCATTGTAGTCATATAATCATAGGTTCCATTGATGAAATCCATATCATTACTAGCTAGATTATCAATATCATTAATAGCTAGATTATGGATATTAATTAGTATTGTAATAATATAATCATAGATTCCATTGATGATTACTAATATGATTTTATAATTACAATCCATTTCAAGCCATGGATTTCCAGGCAGCGCCGCGCGGTGAAACTCGTCACCTCCTTTCCGGTGGCCTTGAAGTATCACCTCACGGAGGACGAAACGGGACGGGACGGAAAAACCATGGGAAAAACGTGGGAAAATCTGGAGAAAACAGGGGAAAACCATGGAAAAAACCATGGAAAATGCTGTTTGATGTGAAAATCATGGGAAACTCTACGAAGTAAATGGAGGTTTCTTGATGGGATCATTCGAACTCAACGAGGACAATTTCCAGGCACGTTTGATTACCAGAAGGTAGAAACAGTTGTTTTGGTGATGTCCCAAAAACGATTTTGGTTGGTTGATGAAACACGATTGCAACCACCTAAAGTTGTCTGATTAAAAAAACATAAGGTCCAGTTGGTTGATCCCACTTGAATCTATAGGTGGGTTAGTTCGCCCCAGATACAACCTATAACTAAGTGGACTAAGTGGATTAACCCATCACTAGGTGGACGAAACCTATTGGATTAACCCATTTTTTCTTGGTGGATGAACCCATCTATAGTCCCATCTGTCTATGTCTATGGGTGAACTCACCTAGGAGACAAGTAGGGTGAATCCTGGAGGTGACACTGGTTGCAAAAGGTGGGAACTTAGGTGGTTTTTATGGTTGAACATGGATGTTCTATTTTTTAAAATAGCAATGACATGTTCTTTTTGATGTGCTGAAACTCCAACAGAACATGTCTGTGAGTATCCAATAGAACTTGAGACAATTATCCCCCCAAGTTAGATCACCATGTTTTCGGAGATTCAGAGGGCTTATCCTCTGGTAAATGTTTACAAAAAACGAACTGGAAAGATCCACCATTTTCAATGGGTAAACCATCTATTTCGATTAGGGCCATTTTCCAGTTTGTTTTTTTGTATGTTTACCAGAGGGTATCCCATATACCCTCCGGGAATCAAACAAAACAATTTGAACTCCGTTGTAATTGGAGGTTTTCATAGGAAGTGTGATTGCCAAGGGTTGTTCATAGATAAGCCATGAAAAAAACCTGATAAATCATTCTTTTATTGATTATTAACATATATTATAGTACATTATATATATATAATATGTATATGTATATATTTATATGTAATATACATATTAGTGAACCTTATGCATAATAGCAGATACACGATTAACAACCTTACTCCCCATATGGAGGTTTCCTAAAATAGGGGTACCCAAATCATCCATTTCCATAGGATTTTCCATCAAGAAAACCATCCAGCTATTGGGGTACCCCCATGACTTAGGAAACCGCCATATAAATCCCAAGAGTTTGAAATTACATACAAATACATCATATTAAATCCCATATACCCTCTGGTAATTTAACATAGCTATTGAAAATACCCCAGTTATAGTGAGTTTTCCCATTAAAAATGTTGATTTTCCATAGTTTTTTGTATGTTTACCAGAGGGTAAATTCCACATAAATCACATATAAAATCCCATATAATTCCCATGTCCATAGGTCCATCCCCATCAACCTTGACCGCGAAAAAAATCGGCAGGATGGATGTAATCCCCATATTCAGCTTGGCCTGGGTTCCTGGATGCCGAAGATTTTTATCGACATTTACCCGGCCTGGTAAACATACAAAAAAACGATGGAAAATCACCATGCTATTAATGGGAAAACTCACTATTTCACTGGGGTATTTGTTCAATAGCGAAGTGTTAAATTACCAGAGGGTATGTTAAACATTGTTTTAAACAGAATGGATTTATTTTTCTGGATTTAACACATGGATTATCCAGTTTAACACATGTCAGATAAATGGATTTGACATGTTATTTTAATAAATGGATTTGAAATGGAATTTTAATGGTTTATTGAAGTTTATTGGGTCATTGAAATTCGACATTTCTAGTTTTTTTTTTGATAAATGCTTGTAATCGGTTTTTCTAGGGTTTTTAGAGGCAACATCAATGGATCTAATTTGGATCAATGATGGTGGATTCGTTTCTTGGGAGTATTTTCGACATTGGTAAATTCTGTTCTCTTCACCAGTATGAAACACGGATGGGGCCCCGGGCATTTCCGTGGCTTGAATATAGCTAGCGTAGTGTGATTTTGTTTTTTTTGACAAACCCAGTCTGGTAACCAAAACAAAAACCACTTCATGTTGTGGCTACATATTACACGCATATCAGGATGGTTAGTGAAACTATTAAACCATGTTAAAGCATGATATCTTCCGAGCATTTTGATGGTGAAGCCGCTATTTTTTTGGATCGCCGGGATAGCCATTGGAAAACATGTTTTCACCATCCAAGTATTCTGGTACCGAATTTCGACCCTGCCCATATAAAAAAAAAAGATACTTAATCTGGTTTGGTTAATATTAGATTAGACTTAATAATATGGTATATTAATATGGTTTATTATAATAATCTGGTTTATTAATATGCTATTAGAATCTGGTTAATCTTTACTGTACCTGATTGAATCAATAGCATTAGTATTGTGATGGGTTTGATTCTTACAGGGCTTGGTAAGTTTGGGGATGTTGAACATCACCAACCAATGAAGGTAGAACCAATTGTCCTTTTTGTTGGGTGATGTGAAAGATCAGTACATTTACCAAGCCCGTGTTAAATCATCCATATCTACTTGTACCTATCTCAATGTCTTGTCATATCGTATCTTATATATCTTATATTCTCTTTTGCTGTTTGATATGATCTAATCTAATGCAGTCCAGAGAATCTAATCTAAATCTAACCTAATTCCAATGCACTCAAACTAATTTGATGGACTGTCTCCTATTTCTTTTCGGCCCAGCGGCTCAAAGTTCAGCAATGCTTACCCCGTGATGCTTTAGGATGCCATCCCACTAGGAGGACCTTGATTTTTGCAGTTGAGACCTTTTTTTTTGTTGCTTGCTTGAATTGTGAGATATCTCCCATGCTGCTTATATAAACCTTGTTTGGGTAGGTGAATGGCTTCCATACTTCGCAGTGAGATGAGCTGCCACATCTCAAAAAATACTGGGCATCTAAGCTTCGCCTAAGTGGTTTCCACAAATCATCAAACATAGTGAGTTTTCCCATGAAAAATAGTGATTTTCCATAGTTATGTTAGTTTACCAGAGGGTAACTTGGATGATGACCCCTCCACCATTTTCCACATCGCAGCTTCTTTTCTTGGAGAAAAACATTCCACATCTCCAACATTTCGGAGTCAAAAGTCATCCAAAAGTCAGTCGTATTCGGAGTCAGCGCCATGGACCTGGACAGTGAGGAAGAAGCCTTGGATCTCATTGTGCAGCTGCATCCCAGCATTCCCCCCATCCCGCGCACGCGCTGGACAGGGCCCATTGCGATGAGGGGACGATCACCGAGAGGGAGAGCCAGGGGACTCTTGGACAAAGTCTTGGAGTTTTTGCTGGAAAAAAACACCATGGTAAGCTGTGTTTCTTGGAGACCCCCATTTTTTTTATTAGGATTTGTTATTTTGCTTTGATTTTTGAATACATCCAGTGAGTTTTCGAAGGAGTGATCAAGGTTGGGTTGATGATACGATGGAGGGTGCGGGTTTATTGATTTTACTGATCAGTTAGGGCGACCATTTCCAAGTTGGAGGGTAACCCTCCCAAGAACAATCCAGCACAAACACGGTAAAAAATGCTCTATGGTCAAGGGCCGAGCAGAGCGCAAGAGCCTGGAATCTTACAACTGAATCTAACTGGCCAGAAATGGGGACATATGAATCTAGCCAGCTCTTTTTTGGTTGCAGGGTATCCCATATTTGCCACAGTGGTGTGCAAGTTACAAACAAAGGTTTCTGCTTTTAAGAACGAGTATGTGATGCAACAATCAAGGTGCCAATGATTGAGAACCGTGGGTATAACTAGAGGAAATCGCTATCCCAGATGTCATGGGGCCAGAATGATGGACCTGAAGGTGGTGACTGGATACTGTCAGGGGTTGCTACATATGTTCCCCCAAAAATGCGTGCCTGGCTGAGGCAAAGGCTTTGGAAAGGGTGAACCAGCTGCAGTAGCCAGCGCGGCTGCGAGAATGTGGCTTGATCCGACCTAGAAGGGATGGCCCGAAGTGGTTTTTGGTTGCAAAACCCAAAGTCTGGAGGCTTTTTCCAAACAGTCTTGTGATTCAGCTCCTGATTTTTCTGATTGAATGCTGATTTTTGATGGTTCCATTGTAAGTTTCATCGAATTCTTGTTGCTTGACCCCTTTCTTTGGCTGGTTCACTGGTGGTTGAGATACCAAACCAGCAGAGCACCATCGGTTGCATCCCCATTCAGTTGGTTAAATCATGTTAAATCCAACTTTGAATGGGTGTAAATCCCCAGTTAGTCGAGCCCCAGTATTTCGATGGGTGAAATCTCGATTTTCGCTTTGATCATCAGTTCAATCCCAGCTTTTTCACAGCTTTTTCATAGCTTCAACCAGCCTTTTCCCCCGTTGAAATCACCGGTGAAACCTTGTGACATCCCCAGCTTTGAACGGGGCACCGGCCCTATGCCCCGGGCCCAAGGTGGGCCTCAGAGATGCTACAGCGGCTCAGTCGCTTCGAGCGGCGCCGGAGGGATCGGAGGGATCTGCACTTGACGAATCTGGAGAAGCTGAAGCGGGTGAGGCGTGGAGAATATCACATATACGTATATATATATATATATGGTGCAGCGTTGGCCAGCCCCCCTCCCCCCCCCCACCAATGGGTATGGGTGGACAGTATCCCCCCCCCCTGTGGCCTGTGGTGGTGGTATGGTTCTTCTGGTCCCCCCCCCCTGTGGCCTGTGGTGGTGGTATGTGGTGGTATGGTATGTTGGTATGTTGGTATGTTGGTATGTTGGTATGTTGGTATGTTGGTATGTTGGTATGTTGGTATGTTGGTATGTTGGTATGTTGGTATGTTGGTATGTATGTAGGTATGTATGTATGTATGTATGTATGTATGTATGTATGTATGTATGTATGTATGTATGTATATGTATGGAATGTAAGGTAAGGTAAGGTAATGTAAGGTAAGGTAAGGTAATGTAAGGTAAGGTAAGGTAATGTAAGGTAAGGTAATGTAATGGTATGTATGTATGTATGTACGTAGGTATGTAGTATGTATGTATGTATGTATGTATGTATGGAATGTAAGGTAAGGTAATGTAAGGTAAGGTAATGTAAGGTAAGGTAATGTAAATGTATGTATGTATGTATGTACGTAGGTATGTAAGTAGGTAGGTAGGTAGGTATGTAGGTATGTATGTATGTATATACACCACCACAGGGGCATCATACCCCCCCCCATCCCATTGGGCGGGGGGGGTGGGAACACGGGACACGGGACCATATATATATAATATAAATATATAATATAAATATTATATTGGTATTAATATGATATCGCAGTTCCAATATATCCAATCCATTAATATATTATCCGAGTTTTGGATATATTGGAGAATGGATTGGAAAATATATTGGATGGTCTATGGGTCATATTCCGCCTGACACAAAAATCTGTACCACCCCCCAAAGAGATGCAGAAAAGTGTGAAACCAGGATGTTTGATCGATTTTTTTCGAAGAGATGTTCCCTTTTTTTTCCAGGTTTCCAAGGTATTTTTTAGACAGGATATGATCCTAAAGCAGGATGGGTCTAGGAAGGATCAACTTGGAGGGAAATTCTCAATCTTCAATGTTGGTTGTGGATCCAATTACAACCCAGAAATATTACCCTCTGGTAAACTAACATAACTATGGAAAATCACCATTTTTAATGGGTAAATCCACTATTTCTATGGCCATTTTCGATAGCTATGTAACAAATTACCAGAGGGTATATCATCATTTACCCCCCAAAATGGTTTGTTCATCATTTCTTCCCAGAATGGGTTGGCTGAATGCCCATTTTGTCTGGTCATGTCCAATGTATCATCGTGAATCACCATTGTCCCTACAATAAATCCCCACTGTTGATCGCAAATCCTCCATTTCACTGTAGGGATTGTAGGGCCCTAAATTGTCCTAAATTCTCCCATCATTTGATGATGACAGGCCGCGTGAGAAAGGAGGCCAATGCATCATCAAGATGCTTGGTACCCTCTGGTAATTTGTTACATAGCTAACTGGAAAGATCCACCATTTTTCATGGGAAAATCCACTATAAATCACCATTTTTAATGGGAAAATCCACTATTTCTATCACCATTTTCAATAGCAAACCGTTAAATTATCAGAGGGTAGATTCTGCTGGGAGGAACCTCCGGAAAAACCCACCGGATTTCACGATCCGGGGCTGAATTAATTTTTCCAGCGGGTTTGCTTATGGTTTTTGATATCTTTTTATCGAAGATGTCTGGTGATTTTAACCAAGGGTATTGGTTATATACCCTCTGGTAATTTGTTACATAGCTATTGAAAATGGCCATTTATAGTGAGTTTTCCCATAAAAAATTGTGATTTTCCATAGTTATGTTATTTTTACCAGATATATATGGGATAATAGTGTGTATATATCATATTATATCTATAGCATGGTGGTTTAACCAGCCAACGTCTGCGACTTTTCCAAAAATTGGAACCACACCAAAGTGGAATTTGCCACCTGAGCCACTTTGGGAAGACACATGAAATTCGGTTGCAAAACGACACCATGACCTGATTTTTGAGGGTCATTATTTCGCCATAGGAATCAGCAGACACCCCAAAAAGATGGATTTTATGAAATTCGGGTTGAGGAATTTCTACGGGTTACCATTGGTATTTTCATGTGGGATTCACAAAAAATGCCATAAACATCCATAAACTATGCCCAATAGAGGTTTATTATATTGGATATACCCCTAATGGGTTTAGTATGACCCCCAGTGATGCTGGGTATTCATGGGATTGTTTGAGGATGCTAGTTCGATGATATTCACCTAATATTTTCAGGTTTCCAACTTTTCCACACCTATGTTGGGGTTGTTATGTATTTGACCTTGCTTCACCATATTTCACCCATGTTTGAGTAGTGATGCTTCTTAGGTTTGAAAGCGTGAAACACGCAGTTTGTAAATATGTCCCTTCGTTAAGTTGCTATATTAGTTACCAACGATACTGCATATCCCACAAATCATTGGCTGGTTGGTGGTTTGGAACCATGAAATTTTATGACTTTCCATTCAGTTGGGAATGTCATCATCCCATTTGACGAACTCCATCATTTTTCAGAGGGGTAGGCTCAAAACCACCAACCAGATTATTATTAACCATCATTAACCATACAATAACCATTAATATTAAGGTGGCTCAGCCATATAATAATAACCATTAATATAACAACCATATATTAACCATATATTACCATCATTAACCATCATTAATATTAACCATTAATATTAACAGTATATTACCAACCAATAGTAGGTGGCTCAGCCACCAACCAATTGCGCCGAATTGAGGAGAACGCTGCAAGGCCTTCTCTATGCGAAACTCGATGGCGCCTTGGTCTGGAAATCCTCGTAGCTTCGCACAGCGCCCCCAAGGGTTGTGGTTCTTGCGTTGCCCGGCATGGTTGTCATCTTGCAACCGACCGGAAGCCAAAACCTCGGTATTTGCCATATGTTCTGCCCTTTTACATGGCAAAAACACTGGTATTTCACAGTTTTCAGCATGTTGCAAGAAGCAGTTTTTCCCTGCACCAGTTGCAAAAAAACATTGTAAATTCAGTGTTTTGGACGTCGGTGCGCAAAAAAGAAGCAAAAAAATCGACCAAAAAGTATCTGAAGGTTGCATCTTCGAGCGGCAAGCCCCGTTTTTACCCATGTTGGGCGGACTTTTGACCCCCAAAAAACATGAAAACACCATCAGAGTTTGAAGGATTTTGGGAGGGTCAGGGCCGCCGGATCTGCAATGCAGCGACTTGCAGAGCCTCGAACGGCGAGCTGCCAAGGTGCCGCTGAAGCTGGAGCGAAGGGTTGCAAGGGTAGGTAGCAGAGTTTGGGAGCTGGCAAGGAGTTTTGGGCTGCAGCAAAGGGTTTCAAAGGTGGGTGAAACGTGCCTTGCAGCAGTGTCGAAATGGTGAGCTGGCAAGGCGCTCAAGCTGCAGCGGAAGGTTCCGAGGGTGGGTGAAACGTGCATCGCAGCAGTTGCGAAATGCTATGGAAACGAGGTTTTGGGAGCTGGAAGAAAAAAATAAATGGGGAGCTGGCAAGGCGCTAAACGTGCAGCGACGCCTTGACGGCAGTTTCGACATGCTATGGAAGCAGAGTTTTGGGAGCTGGCAAGAAGTTTTGGGGAACTGCACTTGGAAGGCTTGAGAAGAAAGCTTGGAACGTAAGGCCAAAATTCGCACAGGTGGCCAAGGCTTGCCGCCGCCCCCAGTGGGGTCGGCGGATATGGGGGTTTCTTAAGTCATAGGGGTACCCCAACAGCTAGAGAATGATTGTTTTTCTGATGGAAAATCCATTAAAATACGAAGGAATGGCGGATACCCCTATTTTAGGAAAACTCTCTCTCTCTTTCTCTCTCTCTCTCTATATATATATATATGCAACCAGTTGCTTATTATATGGGATATTCCAATGTCATAATATGTGTGATATATATATATATATGTATATGCATATCCGTGTATATGGCTTATTGAGTTTCGGTTCTTGGGATTCACATCTACAAAGAATGATCGTTGCCAGGTTAGACTGGTCATACTGGGGATTGTTTATTGCTGGATTAGATTGGTTATATGGCTTATATTCGTTATATTTTATGTTTTTTTTTTCAGATTGATAGCCTATGATAGCCAGTTGGTCATTGTTTCTTAAATTTTAGTCGCTTAAAATGGCTAGAACTTCACGAAAAAGGGGGATTTACCTGTTCGGATCCGTGGGCTCATCCTCAAAGTTCGGATCTGGGGTACCCCAATAAAGTGAATGGTTTTCACCCTCTGGTAAACTTACAGTTTGCTATGGAAAGATCCACCATTTTTAATGGGAAAATCCACTATTTCTATGGCCATTTTCAATAGCAAACTGTTAAATTTCCGTTGATCCCATGAAGATAGGGAATGAATTGGGGGTATTTCACCATTTTTATCATTTTTTTCACTACACTCAACAACTTGGTGGTTTTTATCCCACCAATCGTGTTTGTGGGGGAATGTTCGCCCCAGCTATAAGTGAATTAAACCTACTTGTCCTACTTTTTTTCCTGGGGTCAAGTAACCCACAAACGTACGATCCGACGAATGACCAAAAACTCGCCATGATCTGTTTGAGGAGACAGTGCGGAGCGCATCTTCCATTTCTTGGGTCCGGGCTGCGATTTGCAGCTGCATGTAACCAATGAGTTCAACTTCGATAAGGCCCTCCAAGAGATGAACAGGTGGGCGCACAACGGGCGGGGCAGGTGGGCGGGTTCAACGGGTAAGCGGGTAAGCGTAGCGAGTTGTCTGAGTTGATGGTCCAAACCCTCAGTTGGCTGATGTCCTTTAGGGAACCTGTGCAGAGGTTCAAACCCAGCCCAATCTCCCAGGTATTCTGAGGCGCGTGCCAAGTTCAGCAAGGGCCGTTGCTGCGGCATCTGGCTCTGCTCGGGCACCCACCGCGCGCGCACGCGGCTGCGCTGCGCGGTGACGGTGCTGGGACCTGCGAACCGTGAAGCGCATGTGGCAGCTGCAGAGTGGACCATTGCGGCGGAATATTTGGCGCTGAAGTCGGTGAAGGTGAGGATATCAATGGGGATTCACCAACAATCAATTGGGATATAGTATGACTTAGTATGATAGTCTTACAATATGGATACAAATGGGACATGTCTAACATGACAATCTAACAATATCCTCAAAAAAAAGGGTACCCAACTCATCCAGCCATCATGGATGGATGACGATGACTTAGTATTGAGTCAAGGGTGACGACTGGAGATCCTCCATCTTTAGAAACCTCCGAATGGAGATTCACCAGCAAGAAATAGTGAATCAATGCCGGGAATTTATGTCTGGTTGGTGGTTTGGAGCATTTTTTATTTTCCCCAATAGTTGGGATGATGATCCAATCTGACTAATATTTTTCAGAGGGTTGAAACCACCAACCAGATGATCTGTTTCATTTTGAAGGTGGGAATTTTATGACCCCGGTTTGGTTCAAAAGCGAATTCACCCAACAATAAAATACAATAAATGGGAATATAGAGTAATATCAGAATCTCACAATAAATGCGGAAATGTCAACCACGGGTAATGTTGATCCTGGTTAAAAATTGGGGGTGTGCCAGCAATAAATGGCGAGAATTTATGATTTGTTGCACTTTGAAGGTGTGTATTTCGACCGTGGTTTGGTTGGAGTAGGGTGGTACCGTTTCACAGGCTAATGATAAATGATGGATGGATTCACTAGCAATAAATGGAGAGATCATTCAAATCGAATATTGACCCTTGGTGGCTTTGATTTTTTTCGGGGTGTACCATGTCAAATGTAAATTGAATATGTGGGTGTTTCTCAAAACGGGGGATCCCCAAAAACAAGTCAGGTTTTGATACTCGGTCATGGTCTGCTTTGGATGATTTTCCGATCTACCGGGATACCAGGATAGCCTTTAGGAAAACCTCCATTTTTTTTTTGTATCACCTTTGCGACTCCCCATGACATCACAGGCTATCGGAAAGCCTGCCGTGATAAACACCAAGAGGCTGCCGTGAAAAGTCATCCATGATTATGACACATTCACCAACCCGAATTTTCCTAAAAACACATAAAAACACCTCGTTGATATGTTTTGGTACTACACGCTAGGACCTCCCCAATTATATATATAACACCATGAACAACTATACTATACTTATGATGGTATAATTATCACAAACCATAGTTATTGGAGTTTATAGATCAACCATTAGTTAATATCCCCTGGAGTTGATACACCAACCATTGGTGAAAATTCCCCCATAAACCATAGAAGGCACCAAGGGAACCAACTTCACGGCCTCGTTTTCACTAGGGCCCACTCCCCAAAGGTGTCCCTTAAAAAGAAACAAAACCACCGAAATGGGTGAATCAAATCCTAAATCCCATATGTTTCTGTATATTTTTATGTATATATATATATATGGTACCCCCCCCAAGCCAAGGTTTCATTACTTTACCATGATATTTACAATAGTTTATGATATTGAATGTATGGTAATCAATTGTTCCAAATTAAGATACAAATATAATAATGAATGAAGTGTACAATGAAGTGTACATGAATATATATTTTCTTTTAAATATTTATTTTGTAATTTCTCATCCCCAAGACATCTGGAAAATTTTATCTGCGATGCATCCTTCGATCTTGCTGTCACATCCTTTGTGCAAAATGTTTTGATGAAGCCATTTAAGCGTCAATTTACTACAGCCCACCTACTTTGGAAGCTATGGCGCCCAAGATCGCACGTCCTATGGCTGCGGCAAAGCCAAAGAAGGGCACGGACGTGGAGGTGGCATCGAGTTGCGGGGACTTGGTCTTTGAGGACGATTTTTGGGAGCGCCTTGGAAAATCTATATATGGTGAAGCCAGCATCGTTGACATCACTTGCTTTAACTAAACCGTCATCTGCACATTGCACGCATGATGTCTCGTTCCCTTCAACATCCATCTCTCGTGCCTAGGTCAGACTGGATTCTGCCTCCTCTTGATCATCCCGTATGGTGGGAGCGCAGACCTGAACGAAGCCGCTCACCACCACCACGTGCAGCACCCGGCACTATATATATATATATGTATACACAACCTCTAGTTATACAGTTATATCCCCATTATTAGTTACTGTTGGTGGATTTTGTAGCAAATATGTTGGTTCCCGGTTCGCCGTTCCGCATCGTCGGCACAGGTCTATCCGCCGGCCTGTACCTGGGAAAAACCAGGGAAAAAGTTGGGATTGAACCGATAGAACTGGTGGTTGAACCATCGAACATGGTGATTTAACAATTCAAAATGGTGATTTAACCATTCACAATGGTGATTTTGAATGATTTCCATGGTTAAATCACCATTATTCATCAAAATGAATGGGGATTTACTATGGAAATCAACCATTCAAAGTGGTGATTAAACCAGCTAAACATGGTGATTTAATGTGATCTAAGAAAGTAAAATTGAAGTTTAAGCGACAACAGCAGGGGTTGAAGCAACAAACATCGGTATGTCATCTACAACAATTGCGTTGAAACCTTGCACACATGGAGTAGATAGCCATATGTACTGAACCCCAAAACATATCTGACTCGGGGATGGTTTATACTTATAGAAACATGTTTGATCATTTTTGGCAGAATTTGGGATGGTTCATCATTGGATTTACCACATTATCTTGTCAGATTTCTTCACCCCAACACCAACATTACTCACCCGATGAAATTCAGGTGGAATGAATGTGTTGGATCTGTTCATTTTAGTGTTTTTCTTTGCTGGGGATTCGGGATATTTCAGATGAAAAAAGTCATTTTTTTTTCCCAGCCGTGCATGGGGTATTTAGCGGGTATTTTCCAGCAATTCACAGGAATTGAACGAAGCTTTGTACAATGGGAAAGAAGATGGGATAACAGTTTGATATTTTTGGTGCCATGCAGGGAGGTAGATACCGTATCCAGCGAACAACTTGATTTTGGAAAGATATCTGTATGGTTCGTAAAACAGGTGTACCTCCAAATCATCCCAACATAGCACCCTCTGGTAAGAGGTATAATTTATGTAATGGGATAATATGTGGTTTTTTCCACAACATATGGGGATAGAATGGGATATTAATTGAGATATAATGGGATATCCTCTCGTTATTTGAATCTATGTTGAGATAGTAAAATGGGAAATGGTTACCATGGATAGTTTTACATGGATAGTAAAATTGATCATTGAGATAATATAAAATTCTATTATATAATCCATGGACATTCTCTGATTTCAGCTATGGAAAATCACCATGTTTTTGTAGGTACCCTCTGGTAAACAAACATAACTATGGACAATCCCAATTTTTAATGGGTAAATCCACTATTTCAATGGCCATTTTCAATAGCTATGTTAGTTTACCAGAAGGTAAATCATCGAACAACATAGCTGGGCCATTTTGCACCATTTGCCTCCTCCGTGTTGGATCGTGGTGTCAACCTTAAGACCCCGGTGTCGCATCAAAGATGGCAAACATATAGGAAAATCATGGGAAAATATGGGACAAATCCTCACAATTCTGGAAATCCCGCATAACATCTAGGAAAATCATAGGAACATGTGGGAAGATATAGGAAAATCCCCGACAAACATGCAGCTTTCTATCTGGGAAAATCACCAAGCATGGGTGATTTTCCGCTATGTTCCATGACAACAAGTTATATCCCCGGTCTTTGTGTTTTAGTGGCCAAATCATATTTGGATTCCACGAAAACAATGATGACACTAGCGTGTGACAGTATTGTGGATCATCCCGATCGATTTTGCAGCAAATCTGGGTAAATTTGATCACGACCGAACCCTGTTCTCCCGAGCCCTGGAATCATGGTTTATGTTAGGGAAATCATCCCCAAATGGCCGAACTATTCATGTTAGTGAAATATTATAATTTACCCAGATCAAATGGCAAGTTTGAAATTCCAAGTACCCAAAATTAAGCCACATATCATTGCGCTATATGGGGGTTTCCTAAAATGGGGGTAGCCCTAAATCATCAATTTTTATAGATTTTTCCATTATGAACCATACATTATAAACCATCCATTTTGGGGTACACCTATTTCAGGAAATCCCCATATGGGAATGGTGCAACAACATTTCCCCACAACTGCAGAACATGGATGGTTCTCGATCTAATACCCTCTGGTCGTCAAACATGGCTAGCTGGAAAATTCCCTACTGGTTGGTGGTTTGGAACATTTGGATTATTTTTCCGTATATTGGGAATAATGATCCCAACTGACTTTCATATTTTTCAGAGGGGTTGAAACCACCAACCAGCCTATAAATGAAGGGTCTCTATGGGAACATGATCTACAAGTAGGTGATTTTCCATTGCCATTTCTAAACCGGAGGGTAATGATCAATTGATATCCTATGACTATCCCAATATTATCAATATAAAACATTATAAAACCATATGAAAACCATATTACAACCATATTACAACCATACAAAACCATATTACAACCATATTATCCCATGACTATCCCCATTTCCTGGGTCTCCGTAGCCCATTTTCTGGATTTCGTAGCCGCAAAAAAGGCCTGCGCAGTGAGCAGTTCCACACTCTGCTGAAGGCCATGATCTGGTGATGTTGAGGATCAAAACTCTGATGGTATATCTATAAATATATATATATATATTAGATATGGGGATTGAACTATCATCTATATGTAAATAATATGATGTTAATAATATGATGGTATATATCAAAACCTCTGATCAATCCATTTTCATAGGGATTTAAATTATACTGTACCCATTCCTGGTTGGTGGTTTGGAACATGAATTTTATGACTTTCCATATATTGGGAATGTCATAATCCCAACTGACTTTCATATTTTTCAGAGGGGTAGGTATACCACCAACCAGATATAATTATGATGTTAAATCATATAAAATTAATTAATACCATATTAAATTAGTTAATAATACTTATGTAATGAATTTATATATTATGATGATTATCATATTGTTAATCAATAATGGTATGAACACACCATATTTATACACACTTTCACATTCACAGTATATTGTATGTGTGTGTATACATATATATATGTATATATATATATTGTGTTAAATAATATAAACGTAGTTAATTAACAATCATGATAATCATCTGATATAACCCACATTTGGATGATTTTAGCACTACCCTCTGGTAAACTGACAGTTTGCTATGGAAAATCACCATCTTTAAGTTCGGTAAATCAACTATTTCTATGGGCCATGCTCAATAGCTATGTTAAATTACCAGAGGGTAGTTCTTAAATCCATTAAAGATGTCCAGATTGGTCATTGACTGTCACAACAAGGATGATTCAGACAGAGATTGAGGGACTGGAGGCGATTGACAAATTCTTTTCGGGGCCATGATTCCCAGTTGCTCCTCAAATTTGATGCAAAATCAGTGGATTTCAATGAACCTTCGAGTCAGTTTTTGATACTCAGTGCTAATGTTGGTTTCTGGGGAGATTCCCAAATATCGGTAACCCCCCAAAAAGATAGAATAATCAAATCCCACAATAGGGGGTTCCTGAGTCATAGGGGTACCCCCAATTCTCATCCAGCTATTAAAAACGGATTTCCCATGAAATCAACCATCCAGCGTTCTTGGGGTACCCCCATTGATGGAAATCCCCAAATTGTGAGAAACCACATCTTTCTATCTTTTGAGGGTTACTGTACATAAGATCGAGACCTTTTTGCCTGCCAAGAGCTTTGTGGGCTCTCAAGACCGAGCCAATTTTTAGACACCTAGAATGAAAAAAATGGAATATGATATTCCCACTGGAAATGGCTTCTAAAAGCGATTCTGCATTAGTTTTCATTCTTAGTGACCTCCCTAATTTTTGTTCCTCAAATCCTTGTGTTTGCTGCAGTTTCTCTCCCTTCTTCCTGCTTAGATCTCCATTTCTACCAACCAGTTTTTCCAGTTTTTCCTAAATATGGCTGCTGCACTTTCAATAGATTCAATGGGAATTGTCTAAAATAGGCCTTACATATAGTAGGTACCTCTAATTTAGGTTCCTGAAATGGCCAGTGAATAGATTACCACATTTCTTGCAGCTTTCCTTCCCCCTTTGATCCTACTGATGCCACTGGCTTGAAAGCTGGCTTGGTCGAATCCTGTTTTCTCGCTGATAAAACATCCACATGTTTGGACAACCCATTGTTGTTGTTGTTGTTGTTGTTGTTGTTGTTGTTGTTGTTGTTGTTGTTGTTGTTGTTGTTTTGGTAACCCTCGTGTAAACTAAGAGTTCGATGTGGAACACCCACCACAAACGTAGGAATCGTGTCCGAACGGGAAACCATGGGCGTTTTCCACATCTATGTTGCTGGGATTTGCTGAATTCTCAGGAACCCTCCAAAAATTCCAGTTATATATATATATATAACAAGTATTAACAAGTCATATCATGTTGACAGGTTGTTAATTATCTAGGTTTTGCTCAAAAAACACACAATCACAAAAAAAACGCACATATTCCCTATGGATTTAAAGTAGATGAACACCATTGATATCACCATTGATCCATAATGATCATCTATAAATCTAGAAACAATCTATGATATATAATTCATGGCCCCGATGCAGCATTTCGGCTCACAGGAGGTGAAGTGTGGCTCACCTGGGCCCAGACCCGGCAGGGCAGGGCATTTCCAGGTGAGTCTTGGTGGCAGCCTGCTGAGTGCTCAGGCCTGAGGGAAGAGCACATCAGCTTGGCGCCTTTTTCAAGAAATACAGCCTACGGGCTGGTTGGCCGCTGGCCATGGACCGCCTTAGGGCGAGGGGCCACAATCTGGGCATGACGGATGAGGAGATCCACCGGGCTCTCAGCCTTGGTCGGTCCAACCGAGATCTAGCCTGGTTTGTGGGCAGCGATCTCTTGGGTCGAGCCCAAGAAGCGGCACATGAGGCCTTCGAACAAGAGAGGGTCCTTGAATATGAGTGTTATGATGCCCAGTGGCGGAGTCAGGGACGTGCTGTGGTCACGCTGAGGGACTGGGAGGACAAAGAAAGATGTTTGTTCACCGGGTCTCATGGACCGTCATCAGATGTGTACTATGCCTGGTACGCTGAACACCAGATGGGCCTTGAGAATGGGCTGTACCATGTGTGTGATTGCGCTGGTGCGAGGTGTAAGTTTAGGAAGCCTCGAGGGGACAACAGAGAGCTGATCCATGTGGATCGATGGCGACTGTTGACACCCCTAGCCATGGTAGAGACGGAGTATCTCCGAGACATGGGGATAAAGATGGGTGGGGGCCTCTTGGCAGCGGCGGCCCGAGAGAAGAAAGCCACAGCCCCTCGGCTGGGGAGTGGCTTAGATGCCCTCTTAGAGGCTGATCCTGGTGTGGCCGAGGCTGTCGAGCCTGAGAAAGCCAGAGACCGGGGACAAGGTCGGTCCCGCAGTCCTCGTCGTGGGCGTGAGACCATGGGTCAGTTCTTGGCCAAGCAGGTTGCCAAACATGGTGATGCGGACGCTGGCACAAAGAAAAAGAAAAAGAAAAGTGAAAAGGAGAAGGACGCCAAAAGGCGGAAAAGGGCAAGCTCAGCTCCAGCTCAAAGGAGGAGAGCGACTCTTCGAGTTTTCAGCTGGCCCCAGCCCGGGGGGGCAGCGAGCTCTGGAGGATAGCCCAAAAGAAACCCGGGCAGCTCACTCGCTTAGCCCTCAACGAGATGACCCGCTACTTAGCGGACAAGACCGAGGCGGGCGATCTGGAGTCGAAGTGGGCTGGACAGAAAGTCACAGCGTACTTGAACCAGATTACTCTAGGAGCACATCCTCCAGCGAAAGCGGGGGTGAGAATGGTCCGGGAACTGCAGACACTAGCAGTAACGTTGGACCACATCCTGGCAGGGCGGCTCCCGCAAGCCACGGATACGCTCCTTCAGCGCTACAAAGCATGCGAGATGAGTTTATGGGAAAACAACTGGGCGACTGCCCGCCACTTGGAGATTATCCCCCCGAGCATGGCGTCCCTCGTCAGGACAGAGGAGCGAGAGCTCGCCACACGGCAAGAGCTGAAGGCGGTAAAGCTCAAGGAAAGCCTGCGGAGGACCGAAAAGGGATAGGGACTCGGCAGCGGGCCCGACCCGCGCTCGGGAAGGCCCGTGAGCCCACCAAGACAGGAGGGAAGCCCACTTCGGACACCCCGACCGTTTTCCGGAAAGAGCGACAACCCAGCCCAGCAGATGAAGGCCCCGTGACCTTCGACGAGGAGGGAATACGCCGGCAGGGTCAGGAAGCAGAGGCTAGGAGGACAGCCCTGAGGCCCGCGGAAAGAGCAGGCAGCCCCGTGAAGGAGGAGCCTGTGACCGCCGGTCCGAAGGCCGCAACAGGGGGGTTACTGGAAAAGAAGAAAAGAAAAATGGAAGCAGCAGGCAGCACAGAAGGGAAAGGGCCGTGGAAAGAAGGGCGGGTCGGGCCACGTGACCGAAGCCCGCCAGGTGCAGATGAAGTGAGCTCTGGGAAAGTCAGGGAACTCTTGCAGTGGCTGACTGATAACTCAGGTGACCACTTAACGGCCGCCCAGATGAGTCAATATGTGCTGCTTCAAGCTGTGACACTGAATGGGCCTTTTGCTGCTCGAGAACTCGCTGAAACCCATCTGGGCGCAGGGCACGAGGGTTCGAAACCTCATGCCGCTGCCCCTTTGGCCCGACGTCATCGCGGCCATGGAGGAAGTGCTGATCAGCCAAAAATATAAGGGCAGCCCTGGCGACTGGAGGAGTCGGGGGCCACCAAAACAAAGGCGGGCCGTGCCTTGAGATGGCAAGGCATTTTGTTGTGGCATGGACTGGTAGTAGTAGCCTTGAACTGGATGCACAGTGGAGGCAGTCTCCAAGACGCGGTGGGTCCCCCTGCAGGTTGGGCGACGTCGCAACAAGAGACGGCACTTTGCCGAATTTTTGAGCTAGTGAAAGTTTTCGTTGACGAGAAGCCAAAAAAAGGGAGGTGTACCCAGGACTCCGCAAGGAGGATGGGACCAAGAGCTGGGAAAGCTCCGCGTCTCCTACACGGGAGAGGTTGTGGAGAAGGCCATGCCCTTGACTTATGAGCAGATTTGGCCTGGTCTCCCCACTCCCCACCACGGGGGGCTGGTTGACATTTTGGAAGTAGTGGATGAGAAGCTGAAAGCCCGGCTACTCCGACCAGACCTCATGCTGAGGGAGATCACCGAGGAGATACCGAGGCCACGAGTACTGTGCGAAGACACGGAATGGCCCAAAGTGGTCAAGGCCTTGTGGGAGCGCAACTTGGTGACGCCGGTGCAGACCCGCCCAACGGTTCAGGGAGTACCGGTTCTGAACGGAGCCTTCGGGGTCATCAAGCCTGAGAAGTTCACGGACTCTGGACTCCCAGTTCTCAGGATGATCATAGATCTCAGGGCTTCAAACACCATCTTGGACCAGCTGGAAGGGGACACCAAGACGCTCACTGGTGCGGCCAGTTTTCAAAAGCTGATGGTGGGCCCTGCCTAGTGAGCGGGGATGACCTCAACTCAGCTTTTTATTTATTTCGGCTTCCCCCGGCATGGCCAAATTACCTGGCGCTTCGAAAACCGGTGCCTTGGGAGATCTTTGAACCAGGCAAGCCAAGTGAAACATTGGTGGGGCTGTGCGTCTTGCCAATGGGATGGTCAAGTGCGGTGGCCATTATGCAAAATGCACGCCGACAGCTGGCCCTGCGCACGGAGCTCCGTTTTGGGGCGGGCCTGTTGGAGAAAGCAGAGATCAGGAAGGACGCGGTTTTTCCGTCTTTGGATGAGGCCCCCGCGTGGACCATCTATTTAGACGACACGACGATCATTGAGAAGGTCGGGCGTGCTGTGGCCAGACAGCTGGAAGGGCAGCCGCCGGCTGAGCAGGTCAGGCTGCGCCGAGCCTATGAATGGCGGGGAATACCGACAAATGCCGGTAAGGCCCTAGAGAGAACAAGGCAGGCGGAAAGACTGGGAGCTTTGATTGATGGTGAGAGAGGCCTCCTGAGGGTGACAACAAAGAGAAGCCTGGACCTGATGAGTCTGGGAGCCGGCGAGAGTGCCACGTACGGGGCTCCAGATATACGCCGGCAAGGCAGTGCATGTGCTCCAGTTCAGGCGGTGCCTGTTCTCAGTACTGCAGGAAGTTTTTGGTGCCATAGCTCAGAACCACGAAGTGGTGAGGGCTACAACGTCGTTGTACGATGAGATGTTGGTGCTTGAGAGTCTGCTCCCTGCGGGGGTGTGTGACCTCACGGCTCGCATCGACCCAGTGGTAACGGTGAGCGATGCGTCCGAGACTGGGGGGGGGCATGCTATGCCTCCCGTCTGAGCCGTTTGGGGGTTGAAGAGCTTGAAGACTTTATGGAAGCTGAGGCCCAGGAGGCCACAGGGGTAGCGTCTGATTTCCGGGATGTGCCCCAGAAGGTTGTGGTCATAGACCTTTTTGCAGGCATTGGTGGGCTTGAGCGAGCCCTGGAGCTAGCAAAAATCAAGCCTTGGTTTTCAGTGGCAGTGGAATCGGATGCTGACTGCAGACGCTGTTTGAGGAGGCGGTTCCCAGGAATGGAGTTCTGCAGTGACATAAAGAGGATCGACAGGGAGCAAGTCAAAAAGTGGCTCAAGAAGATCCCTGATGCCAATGGTGTCATAGTGGGAGGTGGCAGTCCTTGCCAAGGCTTGTCCAAGCTCTCAGTGGACAGGCGCCACCTTGAAGATCCACGTAGTAAACTGTTTCACGATGCTGTAGCGGTGATGAAGATGGTGAAGGAAGAAAGCAAGCTGGCTGGCATGTGGTGCATCAGATTTTTGGAGAATGTGGTACCTGATGAGGTAGACATTCAGGAGATGAGCATTGCCCTGGAGATGAGGCCAAGGCTGGTTGATTCCAAGCACCTATCCCGAGCCAGACGACCAAGGCTTTTCTGGTTCTCAGTGGACCTGATTGCCCATGAGGAGGTGGAAATCAGGGAGCATGGACTTTTCGATGAAGTTATTTATGGGGCGGCCACAGAGCCTATGGCGAGTGTGCTCAGCCCTGGGTGCAATTGGGAACCTGGGGAGCGTGACAGTGGCATCCGCTTCCCGACCTTCACAAGGTCAATTCCGCGGCCAAGGCCTCCAAAGGCACCAGCGGGCCTAGCCTCGACCAGCGAGGAAGGCTGTGATCGTTGGCGTGAGGACAACTTCAGGTACCCCCCTTATACCTATGAGAGGGAGTACATGGTGAGGGAACCTGAGGGCTGGCTGAGGCCCCTAAATGCCAGCGAGAGAGAAGTGCTGATGGGATACAAGAAGGGGCACACCCTTGATCTGGCCCGCAAGCCTCCAGAGTCAGATAAGGAGCAACAAGCGCTGGAGGACCAAAGATGTGCGGCTGTGCGCAACGCTTTTCATGCCACGGTAGTTGCGGCTCTCTTCGACCACATGCTCTGGTCTTACGGGGTCAAGCCCCTGGTGTGGCATCATGAAATCGTAGAGTCTTGGGCTGCCGAGATCAAGCGATTGGCGGCCGTCCCTGAAGTTAATGACATTGAAGTGGTACTGGATCAGGCCCCTCTTGGGGAAGATCCTGGATATGAAACGGACGCCACACAAGTGTGGAGCTACAGAATGGAACAGAAGGAGCTTCCACGGGGACCCGCCAGCCTGACTGCCCTGGCTGGGATCAGTGAGGAAGACATGAACCTGTCTGTCCGCATGGTTCAAGCTTTCGTCAGGAGACAAGAATATAGGGGCAGTGATGTCAGGCTGGATGTGGGAACATTGTTCCGACCGGACGCGTTCCCAAGGGCCACCGTTAACCCCCACAGGTGGCAGTGGCATGTGGCTCACGCCTACCCGTTTGAAACTCCAGAACATATCAACATCCTGGAGCTCCGGGCCCTGATCCATTGTGTGGAATGGCGCCTCAGGAGGAAGAATTTCAATGGGACCCGATTCCTTCATTTATCGGATTCCCAGATCACTCTCAGCGTGTGTGTGAAGGGACGGTCCTCAAGCAGAAAACTGAATCGGCTACTCAGAAGGTTGGCGGCGATGAGTGTCGCAGCTGGGCTGTATCCAGTCTTGGCCTGGATTGAGTCACATCTCAATCCAGCAGACGAACCAAGCAGAAGATATGAGCAATAGGGGCCGCGCTAAAGCAAAGGCCTATCCAGCTGTGATGCATCGCCATACCAAAGAGAGCCGAAGAGCAGAAAGAGAAAAGGTGGGCCCCCTGAGTCAGCTAGTGGTACAGCCAAAAACAAAGACACGCTATGAAGAGAGTTATGAAAAATTTTGCAAGTTTCACCAGCTTCGAAAAGACAGGAATTCGTTTGAACTGGAGAAAGTGGATGATTTGGCCTCCAGTTACATAGAGTTTTTGTGGGAGGATGGGGCACCTAAGTCAGAAGCTTCCTATGCCCTGGCATACAGTTCTTCCAGCCCCAGACCAAAAACCGCTTGGTGTGGGCATGGAAGCTGGTCAAGACATGGAACCAGATAAATAGAGCCACCCCACTTAGTCCAGAAATACTCCTGGCAATGGTGGGACAAGCATTCAAGTGGAAACAATTTCGCTTTGGTTGGTTACTTGTTGTTGGGTTTGGGGCTTTCCTTCGAACGTCCGAACTAGTCCCGCTGAAGAGAAAAGAAGTGGTGTTACCGCAGACATTGGGAAACCATGAAGCGGTATTAATGCTGGACACTACGAAGGGGACAAAGAAAAACTTTCTCCCTATAGACAAAGTTGTTATCGAGGAAAAGTTGCCCATTCAAGCCCTGAATTTTCTGTGCCAAGGTTTGCAAGCGGGTGACTCCTTGTCACAGCTCTCAAATTCGCAGTTCCGGTTGCTGTTTAAGGATGTTTTGGAGGCCTTGCACCTCGATGGCATGGGCTATATGCCCTACAGCCTCCGCAGAGGCGGTGTCACCAGTGCCTTTCGGCAAGGGGTACCTCTGGATACCCTAGTCACCCAAGGGCGTTGGCAACGCATTCCAACAGCCAGAATCTATATAGACGCAGGTCTCCAGGCACTGACAGCCATTTCTCACCCTCCCAAAACCCTTTCCCGTTGCGCCGCTTTGCGCGCACATTTTCGTTCTGTGAGCCAGACAGGGGCGCGTGGAAAGAAGGCCATGCCATAGTGCTGACCAGTGGGCTGTAGACCCCAAAAAGGGGAACAGCCGTAACACTGGAGCGAGTTGCTGGGGGTCAAAATGATCCCACTGCAGTGACCCAGGCAGGGCATGAGCCTCTTGCCAAAACAGTTGGCACGGGATTTCAGCGAAAAAGTGCCGTGAAGTGCAGGGGCCGTGGTGCAGGAGTGTATATATATATATATGTATATATCACCATTTTACGGATTTATAGATTTATAATGAAATCTCACCCTTGATATCACCTATTGTTTCCCATATGAATCTATAGATTCCCCATCCAGGTTTGCGCTGGCAACTTGTGCCTGAAGGACTGGCTGTTTTCTCTGGGGAAAACCCATGGGTTTTCCCATGGGATGACGATGGCACTGTGGATGGGCGCAAAATTGCACCAGGCTAACTATATTGGGATTGCTATGAAATATGGTATTTTTTGTT